AACTACTTGGGTTTGAGGCAGCAAACTCCCCTATACTTTCACTGGTTATATGGCTTTCAATCAGTTGTCCCCACTGAAATGGCCCACCGTACATTCTGACTTGCCTTTGCTGAGACGAGGACCGTTTTTCTCAAGGGCTGTTCTCTGTAAATAGGTTATAGTTCTAGAGGTTCTCTGCTATCGCTGCACAGCACACTGTCATCTAGGTATGATTGTACAGAAAGGAGCTGCTTCATACGGTTCTTTAGCTATCGTTTCTGTCGTCATCGACAACAGAAATGGGCTCCATGCAGATTCTTGGAGCATAGCTACCCGCACAGGAATTTTTTCCATTTCTCCACATGTACTGCGAACTGTCGTTGTCATATATTTCTTTGTTATGCATGACATGCTTCTGGCACCATCTTCTTTCTCATACTTCTCCAGATTGCTTGCCTCAGGATTCGGTCATATGCTTCTACAAGAGTGCTTCTACTCACTATGTGAGTGTTCTCTGCTTTTTCTGTATGTTTCGAAATCTGATCTTAAAGCAAAGATGGCATCCGTGGTTGACCGGCCTGGCATAAAGCCAGATTGATTCATGGTGATGTTAACCTCCTTCCTCAGTCTTTTGTACAGCATCCTCTCGTATGGCTTCATGGTGTGACTAAGCAGTTTAATTTCCCGGTTCTTTTCACAGACTTGCATGTCCCTTTTCAATTTGCATCAAAATACCCTGCCTCCGTAGTTCCGGCATTTTCTCACGTTCCACAATTTTGTTGAATAGCGCACATAGTCAGACCACGCCTTCTTGCCCTTGTGCTTTCGATGCTTCAGTGGGAACATGTCGTGGCCAAGAGCTTTTTTATTTTTCATTTTGTGCAGGGCTTGTTCCATGAGATTTCTTCTAGACCCTGGCTTCGTGGGATTTATTCCACGGCCTTTCTAGCATGTTCTTTATTTAGTAGTGTTTGGATATGCCTTCACCATCAGTAGCGAATATTTTCTTGTCGGTCAGCGTTGTTCCACTTGCGTCTTTTGTGCAGATGACGTTACCGACATCTCTTGTTCTTTCTTTTGTTTTTGCTGTGCAGTAGATGTCTTTCAACCCTTATGGTTTTTCGCTGCTGCACTTCGCTTAGGCGACGATTTCCTAGAACGATTTCTTCGATGTAGCACATTTTACTCTGTCTTTCGCGCTGTTTGATAGCTGTTATCTCTTGAACACCTC